ATAGATCAGAAATGGGATATGGGAAGAAGAGATCATTTGTTGTATTTTAAGAGAAAGTGATAAGTTACTAAAATTGTTTGTACTTGTGATGAAGGTTGGGAATCACTTTTTTTTTTAGTATTGTAATTATAATATTTAATAAAATTTAAAAAGAAAGTTCCAACTACAGTATATGTAGGTAGTTCCACACAGAAAACACATTAAGTACCTTACTGCAGCGATATGCAACTGCCTGACTTACTTCCCAGTAAGCCATAAGTTCGATTGAGCCTACGATGCTGGAGATATTGATAATGGCTGCCTTGCTGCAGCTAAGCCCTTGCCTCGGACTTTCCTGGGCTGCCTTTTTCAGCAGGGGCAGAAAGGCCTTGCAAAGAGAAGAAAAGAGGGAATGGACTGCAGTTAGGCCTATGAAAAGGAGCTCTGCAATACAAATGATCAAAAGCCAGCATAAGTTATCAGAAAGGTCTTCTATCACCTCGATGATGTACAAGGGGGTTCTATGAGAGATTGTCAACATACATCCCAGACCAAGGGTATACAGTCCAAAGTTTGGCTGAGATTCAGATAATCCATGTGTTCTGCAGTTCTCTGTAATTGCCTTCTTACCAGGTTCTCTTCAACCTTCCCAAAAAGGGAGAGATGGGAGATGGGCTGATAATTCTCAAAAGTGTGTGGGTCAAGGGATGGTCTCTTAAGAAGGGGCTGCTTTACAGCCTCCTTCAAGCACAAAGGCATTACCTCCATTAAACTCAGCTCACATGCCACTGTTACTCCTTGTATAGATTCTCTCCAACCATTATCAAACTCTGAGGAAACAAGGGTGATTTTGACCCCAAAGTGTCTCACAAAAGGGTCACACCAGTCTGGGAGGTCTTCTTCTGCCCCAGCAATCCCTAAAAGGGAACAGCTACCCCCAATGTTCCAACCTGCTCCCAAATTAATGTACAATTTCTACTTCTTTATTTTCAGCATTATTACCCTGCTTTCTTTAGTTAGACTGACTTCAACCGTTCTGTCTTTTTTCTTTGATAAGGCAATCCTTGCTTTGAAAGGCATTTTCACCATGAACAAACCTGACTCATTTGCAGTGGGCCTATGGTATTGACGGAATAAATTCTCATCATATTCTTAGCATTTTCTGCTTCCATTTCATTGAAGACCCAAATGCCAGCATTGTTGATTAGGAGGGTCAGCCCACTTTCTCCAACACACTTCTGTACTTCTTTCAGAGCTGCCTGGATGCTCTCAAGATTAGTGACATCTGAGGAAAAATAACACTATCTAAACATCAACAATGTGCTATTTCAGAATTGCCACATACAGTAGGAGCTTCTTGAAACTTCAGAAGATCTGTGTGTCCATCCATGCAAGTAACCACCTTCTGGATCAGCAATTAGACAGCTTCAAGTGGTTGAGAACATGGACTCCATTAAGGACATGAGTGTCTCAGCGCCACCTCTAGGAAGTATTGCCCGGAAATAAGAACTTTAAGATCCCCAGCAAATGGGGGTTAAAGGCATAAGAGGTCTGCCCTTGGTGGAATCAGAAACAAGTTTTAATACCCATATTCTTTGGACATCATTATTTATTTATTCATTTCTTTAAATGTATACAGCCGCCCCTCTCATCATAGTGACACTGGGCAGTGAACCAAGGTTAAAACAAAAACCACTGTGTGTGTGTGTGTGTGTGTGTGTGTATGTGTATAACTATTAAAACATAAAACAGCCAAGGGGAAAAAACACAAAAGCACAAAGTGTCACCTGGGCTTTATACATATAGTATCATATTCAAGTCATGGCTTTATAACCAAAATCTGTTGAATAAAAACAGAACTCATTGTGTTCACTCAACACCCTTACAAAAAAAAATACATAAAGACGCACAGGATGTCTTATTGAGATCTGTAAACCAATCCTAAATCTACAGTAACATTTGCCTACCCAAATAAACTTGGGCTACACCACCATGGCTGCAAAGAGGGTTTTTTTTACCTCTTTGCTGATAGTGACACTTCACTGTCATCTGAATTTTTGCAGCCCTATTATGATGGCCTTAACATATTCACCTAATCTACAAAGCACATAATTCTGGTCAGACAGCAACACTAGCTAACCCCAAATAAACTGGATCTATCGAGCTCATTCCAGGAATGGCTGTTAGCTGGATGCTCTGAGCATTTCCATAGTATCAAACGTGTCCCATTCGCACGAGGCCCTTGCAACTTACCTAACTGCAACACCACCAGATTCGGATGCTTGCATGCCAACTCTTTCACCTCCTGAAGGGAACATAGATCATAGTTTTTCTTTGACTTAAAACTTGCAATTATATACAAGAAGCAGGCAACAATTTGAGGTGGATTTCAAATAGGACAATATCAAATGGAAGAGCAAGCAGGAAAAGTATGCAATTTCTTCATTAAATGACAGTTGTGCCATGTTACTGACCCAAGAAAACAAAGCTGAACTGCCAGCTCTTTGAGGGAGGCCAGATCAGGCAACAGAGTCCACAGGTAGAACTCTACTTTTTTGATACAGGCTATAAGAACAGATTTATCAGGTTCAGCCCAAGAAACTCAGTGGGACAATTCAGGAACAGTCCAGTTACTTTATTAGCATACACCTACTAGACAGAATCTCACCAGACTAACTCTAACCCCCAACGACAGCAACTAAACACTCTGAATTCCTTAGGGTGGTGCCAATCTCCTCCTCTTCACTTTCACACGCTCCGGCTGAGGACTGAGGAGATCCTTGGGATTCCTCTCCCCTTCCCTATGACCTTGGACCTCCATGCCACGATCCTCCTCGCTCCTGCCTTCCATCACAAGATTTATGAAAGTATGACTGTTTTCCTGCCCTCCCACCTATGATCTTAAGCCTGAACGGCCTGGGAATTTCACATTCACTGGCTGATGACCACTTTCTCCTCTTGGATAGACAATGACTCTGAAAAGAAGTCGGCTTTACTTTTTGATACACAAATGAGATCTAACACACTGCTTGAGTGGCCTGAGTGGAAGGTGTATGGGTATACATAGTTACTATGTTTGCCTCCCAGAATTTGAAGGTTACATTTAAAAGTCAGTGATACCAAGTATAGACCAGCAGTATTATTGTTATCTCTTGAAAACCAATGTGGATGTTTATCAAAAAAATTCATTTGGAAGTCCACCATATCAGGTGAAATCATGAAGAGATTGGCCTAGTTTAGCATTAAAACTAGGATACAGTGAGTTCTAGCCCTACCTTAGGCATGAAAGCCAGATGGGTGACTTTGGGCCAGTCACTGTCTCTCAGCCCAACTCACCTCACAGGGTTGTTGTTGTGGGGAAAATAGAAGGAAGAAGAAATATTAGGTATGTTCACCATCTTGAGTTATTTATAAAAATAACAAAGGTGGGACTAAAAAAAAAAATCTAAAAAAATCACCAAGTAAAATAATTATGGCTTGGGTATGCAAAGTAATTATTTCTTTCAATATTATTTCTAAACGTATCCAATAGTCAGAATTGTAATAAGAGGATGTATTTGGGGGAATATAAATATTTACCAATATAAGCTCAAAAACTTTATATCTGAATTTCACAGCCAGTATAGGAAGCAGATTATAAGCCCCCAGAGGCTCACCCTTATTCTTCAATTTTTGGGCAGGGATGTACCAGCACTGAAAACCAGGGAGTTGTACTGGGTCATCCTCTCCTACTAGCCAGGTTTCTTGTAAAGCTATTATCTCATATTCGGAAAGGAATCTCACCAAATCACTATCAACAGACTCTTTCCAGCCAGCTACATTCCAAGTTATTATTTCTAGGCTGGAACAATATTGTCAATGCCTCCCGTATATACACAATTATTGTAAAATTCAGATTTCCTCTCCCTAAGTTGTGATTGTCGTTCTTCTTTATCATAGGAGTCAGCATTCAACAACAAATTCAGTTCAACAAACTCTGATCCGGTACTGGAGACTCTGTATCTGGGCACCCAGCAGCTACTGCTAGTGACAATAAACTCAGCCCATCCCTCTCATTTTCTAATTGCTGGGCTTGAGGGCAGATAAGATCGGATTGAGGGCTGATAGCAGAAAGCAGCCCCAATTTAGGGCTCCTGTAGGTAAAGTTGGCTTGCAACGATGAATGGCAAGGTGTGGGTGGAGCATCCCCTTGGGGAGTGGGACCAGAACCCCCAGGGTCTATGCTGGGGACAGCTGATGGAAACATTTCTGTAGATTGTTCAGACTGATCCTCAGGAGCCAGTTGCAATAGGTCATCAACTACAGACTTATCTTCCAAATAGTTATGAGAGGATTGTGCTACACTGACCCATCAGATGTTCTTTTCTTTTGTATGGTTTTGCTTTGGACCGGAATGCCTTCTTTTTTTAACTTATTGGGGGTTTTGTGCTCTCAGAGGCATTTCCACAGAGGAGCAACTAGAAGGAAGGAAGGCGTCAAGAGACTCAGTTGCAGCAGTGGCTGACTGAAGCATAGATTTAAGGTTGCTTAAGATCAATTGTCGTTCCTCTGGGGAGAAAGTGGCAAACAGCTGAGTTAAATCTTCCTCATCTTCCAAAAGGTCTGCTGAAATCTGTATCTTTCGAACCATGGGGTTACCTCCAGGCATCATATTGGAGGTGAAGGCCTTTATTGATTATTTGGACCCGTGAAACTCTGGCTTGGAGAAGATCACAGTTCAAATAAGCCATAGCTTACTCTGTTGCACAAACCCAACTGCTACTCAACCTTCAGAATTAGATTTCTCTGCCACCTTTCTTCTGCAAACCCAAGATTAAGGGGTCTGAAATCACGCAAGAGTTTCATGACCAACTGGGAACTTGTACCACTTCAGCCACAGTTCAACATCTTAGCCACGATTCCCCATGCTGATTCTCATCTTGGTTTCTTTTACCTCCATATTACAGGTTGTAGCAAAGACCCATTTGGGTGGACAGGGCAGCATCAAAAATCTCTTCATCATAATCATAATTCATCATAATCGATTTTGCTTACTACTGCTTATTTTGTTTCTATGCTTTGAATGGCACTGCTTTTTTAAAAGATTTTTTGGGTGGAATATAAGAAAAAGCAGAGCATGTTATGCAGAAGAAAAAACCAACAGTGGTTATACAGTCAAAAACAAGTTAATACATAGTAATAATTAAAGTGAATAAAATTTAAGGAAAAGGAAAAAAGAAAAGGGGAACTACAGTGGTACCTCGGGATACGAACTTAATCCGTTCCGTGACTCTGGGCGTATCCCG